AAAAGATGTGAGACTATAGCTTCAAAGCTATATGTTTCAGAACGGCAACAGAAAATACTGCAGAAAACCTCATATAAGCACCAAAACAACATTACATACATAATTTTTCAAACTAGTCTCCATATTTGCCAGTGGTATATCAAGCGGACCAAACAAAAAGTCCTTGACATCTTTGTCAGTTTCAGTAACTGAACCATCTCCAAGAGTTTTCAAATACAGTGTAGCTCTGTCTCGAACCTGTAAGAGAGACGAAAAGATTCACGTTTCATAAAGATGAATGAAAGGGCTTTCAGTAATCAATCCAAGACAGAGAAATAAAAGAATCAACAACACTGAGTATCAAGATAAAAATACTGAATTAGTTTATTACAAGCAACACTAACAGTTGGTCACAAGTTTCATTGAGGCATAACACTGACCTCATCATCGTTGTCGTAAAGGCAACGCCTCAACAAAATGAATACACGAGGCTGCAGCAAAGGTAGTTATGATTCCTCTTAGTTGGTAATTAACTGAACATTCTTATCCATAACCACAACACATGAATGAAGCCTTACTTTCAGTGAATCAACCACAGCACCAAATTTCGCCAGTGTGCTTACAGCACTCGCTCGGACGGTAGCATTTTCAAGTATCACCCGGTTGTAAATATAACGGATATATTTACTGGGATCTGATGTCTTGGGTCCCTCATTTCCAAGAAAGTGAAGTATCTAAGATAATGAAAGCAGCAAAGTTAAAGATAATAAAGCTAAACGAAATAGCCAACTAAGAATGAATGTAATAAGAACAGTTCCAGAAACAAAAAATGCCAACCTGCGTAGAAAGATATGTGAATTCACAATCTTCAATAAATTCACACAAGTGCAGCAGTCCACTTTCTTTGGCATCTGGTATATCTCTAATTAAGATCACAATTGAATCAACAATTGCCTTTTTGTATTCAAAACCACCCTCTTCCCTCAAAATACTGCTTAAAAAATTCATCCTATGGGAAACACAAAAGAACTAAGCATTATGAGAAATTTCAACTGAAAGTTATAAAGGAAGCCGTGTACAAAATAATGTAACACTGAAGATCATCCATTCTCAGTTCCCAAGGAATGCCCGGTAATCACTCACAGAGATCTGTACTTGAGGGGGAACTTCAGACATAGTGATCTTATAGCTTCTACAACAACTATCTTGAATTCATCAGCAATATCAGACATGAAATTTGTGATCTGCTTCATCAACCGATCAACACTAGATTCGTTGCCTGTTTTCAGCAGAGTGGTAATGGCAAGAGTTGCTATGCTTCTATTCTGGTCCGAAATCAAGCTTTCCATGTCTATATTACAATTTGTAACAACCATGGGATGTGTCATAGCTACCTGTTTTCATTTAAAGAGAGAAATAAAAGAAAATAAATGAATGTCTACATCTAAAGAAGGGGTCACAGGACCATACAAGTGAACTATGGATAATTTCCATCTATCAAATGGTGAAATTGAGTGCCAAACAATAAAATTTGCAGTCTTAGCAAGCAATACTCACATTAGCATCTATGATGAAAATTGAATAAACAGACACCAAACTACTAAAGAAGCAAGTTCATGAACTTCAACGCGGAACTATAAGGAAGAAACTTCTAGTACTAACCAGGCAACCACCCACTCAGTAAATAACAAATTAAACTTGGGAAAGACACTGACCTTGTTCAAAGTCCGGACAGCAGCAAACCTTAGCACTGGCTTAGAAGAACTTAAGAAAAGTTGTAGAACAGTTATGGCAGGAGTCAACTCCCGGGTAGAGACATTGCTTAATTCTGTGATTGCCTTAGCTGCTTCGAAAATAACCATTTCAGCTTTGTGGCGGAGACAACTCTCAAGATAGTCATAGAATGGCCGGTCTCCTGTTTGTGAATTAACACTTGACTCTCTGATAACCTATACACCTCAATGAGCAAATGCCTTATCAATACTTGAAGAAGATAAAAGAGCAGAATTAGTTTTCGACTACTTCACAACAAATAAGTCAGTACCTGGCTTGTGTAGCGGATCAAAAGGCATTGAGCTAAAGGAGAACGAACAGTCCCCTTCGTCAAGCTGGTAACTAACTTGCTCACAGCCAACCGATCATTTTGTCTTATCTGCAAAGTCAGACACATACCATGCCAATGCAATCAAATCAGGCTAATACTGGGGAGAAAACAAAGATCACATTCCATTTAAAATTATCCCACAGCATAAACAATGAAGCCAAAAATTGTAAAAATAAAAGGGGTTATTTAAGGAAAGTATCATTGGACAGATGTTTTCAGACTCTTCTAATGCATTTTCAGAACAGAACTGTTACATATAAAAGGATTTCCTTCTTATTACAAAATTGCCTCATATAGTATGGGTTATTTTTCAGCAATTAGTTCAGATCCAAAGAACAAATGCAGGAAAGGAAAAATAGGATCTAGTTTGGGAGTAAAGGTTTATCTTGTATGGAAAAGCAATTTTTCTACCATGTTCTGCCTGAAACTGTTACCTGGTGGAGCAGAGCAAGCGCATGGAATTGTACAAGTGCAGCCCGTGATTGCACTGCTTCTTGCACTTCATTACTCCATCTCTTGACTATCTCCGGATTGGTCTGTAACATAATAATTAAGTACACCAAGGCTGGAGGGAGGGTGGGAGGAAACCAAAAAAAAAAAAAAAAAAAAATTAAAAGTGTACACAGTACCTGCAGTAGATGAAAACCACTCACAAGGGCAGCACTTGCAACTACTGGGTTTTTGTCCACTATAGCCTGCTTTAGGTATCTCTCAATTTGTGTCAAAAGTGTCCCGTCAGTAATCCGACAAAGGACACGTATAGCATTTGCTCGATACATATCAGTACGGCTATTCATGTCCTTCATCAGGGAGCTAGTGACAATAATAACCTTTTGATGACAAGAAAAAAAAAAGTTCATTATTAACTACTTGAGAAGCAAAGAAGGTTTACTAGACAAAAAAAGGAAGACAAATATGATCAAGTAACCTCATCTGCAGAGGGCGAAAGTTCTTTAATCATTAGATACACCATCCTTCTCAGACCAGTGTCTTTGGACTGAAAGAGCTTGGTAACAGCAAAAAATACTTCTGTAGCTTCGACCTGTTATTTGAAATTGGCCGTTTCTAATTAGGTCATAGGAAAATTCAAGTAGGAGCGCTAATAAAGTGCGTGCTTGTGACAGTATGTAAAGAGGGGAATGGGGTGTTGTTAAGCGTTTGACCTTTGTGAAAGTTTCACCCTGATTCAGAAGATACAGAAGCTTCGTGATGACCTAAAAAAGAAAAATATGAACATGAATATCATCTCTCAAAGACAAAAAGAAACAGAACCAAACAGCTATAGCAACAATGTAGTTACCTGTGAACATCTTCTTGCATCCAACTGAGGGTCATTGAAAACCCTCGCTTCCTGTAACACAGCACCCTTCTCAATCCCCAAAAATGGGGAGAACTCAGCTGCAAATCAGACATGGCTCCGCATCAGAAAATCAACAACCACAATTGCATATGAATTTATCCAACTATAATTAAAAGCTCTGTAATAGTCACAGAGCAGACTACAAGTGCAGATGCAAAAACTGTAGAAACAACCCTGCATAATCCAGCTCTGACCAATCATGCATACACTATAAATTAACACCAATGAGGACCAATTTGACATCCAATTTTATTAAACTAAAAGAAGCAATATGAAAATCTATTCCCCAATCCTCCTCAATCTTTAAAATTCTCCACACCCTCCCCCCACCCCCCCGAAAAAAAAGAAGAAAATGTAAACCTCATTCGCCCAACCGATACGCAGCATGATTGACATACTTGATGCTTCTTAATTCTACCAATAAAAGGCACTGACAGAAAAGCTGCAGATCTAATAAGTAACAGGTGAACTGATTGTTGGAAGGGACACATTCCGTTATAAGATTTCATGAGTAACGTGCCATGCTCTTACATGCTCCCTAACTGTTAACAATGGTTGTGCCAAACAAATCAGATAATGCCCCGGCCTAGAGGAAACCTAACAACAAATCAGATAATCCGGGTTCCTATAATTGAAACATATCATACATCATGCCTTCTCGGATCTGAACACGAATAGAAATTATGCATGGAAGAGCTAACACAGTAGTAATGGATTGAATTCCATAAAATGCACCTTCCTCATCGCGATCATCGTCTTTCTTCACAAGCGGCTGCGCCATCGTGCGGAGATCTGTCATTTTTCTACAGACAAGAGGATGGCTTTACAGATCTCAGAGTATTTTCTACGAATTATCAACAAAAACAAGGGCGCAAATGGAGTGGAGTGGCCAGATCTTTTCCTTTCTCCTCTTTCTTTCTTTCAATTGGAATTTTCGCAGATGCAGATCGCGGAACACAAGTTACTTACTGGTGGGAGGTCAACTGGATTGTACAATTTAGCCCAGCCGGGTGTGTGCTCGACACAAATTTGTTAATTTTGAAAAATTATTTTGAGTGTGTATTCAAATAATTAGTATGCAGCACGCCATGCATTGGACATAGGTATTAAATGAATCATTTCATAGGGTTTGTCATTTAAATAGCTCGTATGATGCACGAGACATAGACATTAAATGAGTCGTTTCTGTAAGACTTGTTCGTTAAGGCCTAAAAAATAATTGTGTTGGATCATTTATTTTCCACATCTTTTTATACTGTCATTTTTTAGTCCGACGTTTTTTTTTTTTTTTTCCAACGACATAAACTTCTCTATTCATAAAAACATAAAATGGTAATGTACATGGAGACAACCCCTGCTTGGGTAACTGAGAGGCCATGCAATCAACTGCAGCCTGATCGAGCCAACATATATCAAAACAATCCAAAGAAGCAGAAAGTCAAAAACACCCCAACAAACAAATGAAAACAAAGTCTAGCACAGCTAACACAAATACAACAAAAATAGCACCCTAATACATAAAAGGAAACAACCTAATAAAGAACCACTGCCACAATGCCTAGCTCATTTTCAGCCTTCCCGAACTATGCTTTGAAGTTGGTGATTGCAAACTCAGGCAAATCCTTCATCGCGTCCTTAATGATCCACACCTCTGGCTTCATTTGCCCTTCAAAAATCCAAATGTTCCTAGCTTTCCAGAGGCACCATAGTATATAAGTGGATAGTTGGATTCTTTCTTCTGATGTATCTTTGAAATTCATGGTGCTGATCCACCACCACCACTGCTTAAAGCTAAGTTGCTCTTGGTGAACTCTGTTCCATTGCACAAGTGCAATCTGCCACACCTTAACAGCTCTGGAGCAATAGAACAACACATGATCCTGGGTTTCTAGAGCTTCCCACACACTTTGCACAGAGTATCAATGTCAAGGCCTTTGGATTTCAGATTAAAGTTGACAGGCAGAATGTTAGAGAAACACTTCTAAATGAAGTGTTTAACCTTGCCCAACACCTTGAGATTCCAGCACCTTGATCTGGCTTTCCTATTTCCCCCAAGCCATTGAACTGCTTTCAGCCACATCATTAGCACTCAATTTCCCAGCTGACAGTATAAAAATAAGCTTTTTTAACTGAGAACTTCCTTTTAGACACAAAGGAACATTGCTACAAATCAGCCATCTTGGCATTCAAAGTCTTGATTTGCAAAATCTTGGATGCATCCTCTTATATAAATAGAGCTCTGACTAGATTTACATCCCAACTACATCTCCCTGCAATTAAAAGATCCTTAACCCAAAACAAATGACCATCAATATGAATTCTGAGTGTAGGTTTCCCCCCTGTCACTCCTGGCACCCATTTATAATCATTCAATTTAGTAACAACACCATTCCTAATAATGACATTCACTGGTCTTTAAGCATAGGAAGTAAAGAAGCCCCGGATTTCTACAACCATGAGTCACCATTTGATTTAGTCCAGTCAAAGATAGAGCATTTAGGGAAATACTTACCTCTGAGTATTTTACTGACCAGCAGCACAAGTTGATCAATAAGTCTCCAAAGTTGCTTGCGAGTGAGTGCTTTATTCAAGATCCTAATATCCAGGAAACCAAATCCTCCATCATTTTTAGGGATAGCCATTTTGTCCCAAGATTTCCAGTACAGGTTGTGTTCTTGAGAACCCTCTTTGCTCCACCAGAATTTGGCCACTAAGCTGCAAATGTTCTTACACAAACCCATAGGAAGCAGGAAGCATGATATAACAAATATGGGGAGTGCTAGAAAAACAAATTTGATCAGAACCTCCTTACCAGCAGTTCATAAGAGGTTGTTCTTCCAACTTTCATTTCTGACCCTGACAGAATTCCCTACAAACTGGAAAGCATCCTTCTTAGAAGCCCCAATTCCCAAAGGAAGTCCAAGGTATCTAGAGGATCTTTTCAGCACAAAACCCTTCAAAATAAAACAAATTTTACCAGCCAAGTCAACTCCAATTCTTGCTCAAAAACATAGATGACTTATGCAAATTGACTTTTTGCCTTGTGAAGCACTAATACTTTTGCGGGAAATCCAATAATAACATAGCATGAGATTCTTCAGCTTTGCAGAAAACTAATGCATCATCTGCAAACAGTAAATGAGAGAGCATGGGGCCCTCTTTGGCAATTTTAATACCCCTGAAATGGCCTACACTGATCTTGTGATGCAAAAATGATGAAAAAACCTCAGAAACCAGAATAAATAAATATAAAGATAGAGGATCTCCCTGCCTGATTCCCCTAGATGCCTTATCAAAACCACAATTAACCCCATTCAGATTAAAAGAGAAGGTAGAATGAGACATGCAACTATAAATCCACTTAATGAAAGTGCCATGAAAACCCATTTTTTCATGATTTTCCTGATACTGTCCCATTCCACCCTGTCATATGCTTTCTCCATATTCAGTTTTACTACCATGAATGCATGAGAACCAGATCTATGTCTATGGAAAAAGTGAAATACATCATGAGCAATGACAACATTATCTAACAGATTCCTCCCAGGGACAAAAGCAGTCTGAGCATTACTAATGCAGAAGTTTAAACACATTTTATGTCTCTAAGCCAACACTTCAGCAACAATTTACAAAGAACACCACACAAAGAGATAAGTCTGTAGTTGCTCAAAGATTCAGGATATAAGCATTTTGGAATAAGAGTAATAAATGTATTCTTCTAGTTCTTAAGTAATTTCACAGACATGAAAAAACTTTTAACAGCTCTGCATACATCATCTTTGATAATACTCCAAAAATGCTTGAAAAATGACGCTGAAATACCATCCTCCCCCGGGGCCTTGTAAAAATCCATATTGAAAAGAGTTGTTTTAATCTCCATCTCTTGGACAGGTTGGATAAGAAGATTGTTGATGTCTACAGAGATAGAATGAGAAATATGCTGCAGCAGCTCCTCTCCCCCTGAAGTCCCTTCAGAAGCAAATAAAGAAGAATAGAAATTCACCATATGAGCTGCAATAGTCTCTTTAGAATCACATAAGTCTCCTGCATTAGTCACGAACCTCTGAATCAGATTAGTTTTCCTCCTCTAAGCAGTATAAGCATGGAAAAATTGGTTGTTTCAGTCCCCCTCTTTTAGCCAAAATGCTCTAGATTTCATTCTCCAGAAACTCTCTTCCTCCTTGTGTGCACAATCTAGCTCAGCTTTCAAACTACCCCATTCATCCCAATCCCTCTCCTGACCACTCTTCATTAGCTCCTCCAGCCTAGCAATAAGGACCTTTACTGCTCACTCACTATTTTTGTAAATTGGTTTCTGCCAAGCTAGCCAAGCCATTCTAGTGTTCTTGATCTTCTGATGAACTTAGTACATGTGTGACCCTTCCACAGAAACTTGCCAACCTGCCTGGACTGCTTCTTTTACACCCTCCATCTTCACCCAAGAACTATCAAAATGAAATCTTTTCTTGCTTCTATCTGCTTCCACCTCTGTATAAAAAATGATCACATTATGATCTGGAGCTGTCCTGTATAAATTGATAACCTCCATCTTGGTAAATGCCATCATCCAGTCATAAGAAATGAATAGTTTATCAAGTCTCTCTTCTACATAACCATCACCAACTCTATTATTTCTCCATGTAAAGAAAGCTCCCTTCCGATCCATCTCTTGCATTCCCATGTTCTCAATAAAAGATTTAAAACCTCTAAAACTAGATTCTCTATTATTTCTCCATGTAAAGAAAACTCCCTTCTGATCCATCTCTTGCATTCCCATGTTCTCAATAAAAAAATTTAAAACCTCTAAAACTGGATTCATGCCTTCTGAGACAACCCCTTTTCTCCTCATTGCAAGTAATATCATTCAAATCTCTAGCCAAGACCCAACAACTACCCCAATTCTGTTTGCTATTTTTAAGAAACTCCCACTGTCTTTCCCTCTCATACCTCTCAGTGCTCATGTGGACAAAGATCAACCAGCATCACTCGCTAACTCCTAAACCTTTAACTTCCAACTGAACACAGAACTCATTAGCAACAATCTGTCTAATCTCTGTATTTATATCCCACATAATCAGAAGACACCCTCTAGTACTATTGGGCTTCTCCAAATGCCATCTACTCTCAAACCCCAACTTCCTACAACCAATATTAGTAATAGCCCAAGATTTCTTGGTTTTTGACAAAAAATGACATTTGGGTGGTGAACTCTTTTGGAGTCCTTGATCTGGGAAGTTGTAGAGGGCCCACCCAGTCCTCTACAATTCCACACCATGGCTTTCAGTGATCACCTCGGGGCAGCTGGCCTTCTCCGCCTGAGATGCATCACAATCAGCTTTCAGTTTCTGGTCAGATACCTCATTCCCTTAACTCTTCAAACCCTGTCCATAGATAACCAGCTCTCTATTTCTCTTCAAAGATTTGGATTCCTTTTTCCCCTTGGCTATATCTTAATCTAATGAGCTTTCTTTGGCCTTCTCAGACATCCTCAACAGTCTACCTGCACCACTATGTTTCCTCCTCCAAGAAGCCATTGTCTTAGCCCCAGTTGCTTTCTTATACTTGCTTGTTGAACCCATGTCAGAACTGTCAGTAGTACACAACACTTGAGATTCCACCTCCATAGGAATCTCTTTATCCCCCGCCAAGATGTCATTAAGGCTCGTACCTGAACCTTCTCCAGATGGAACAATCTCTAAGGTCCTATGATCTTGGGGAGTTAAATTTGCCCCCATATCTTCACCCCTCTCCTTATTTGGATTCACCCCTTGGATCTCAGTCTGATTTTGAGGAATTTTGGTAGGTGTAGTATTTGCAGACATAATAGAATCGTGATAAGAATTCTGCTGCGGATGATTACTATTATCTTCAGAGCTACTAGCCTGATAATTCCTCCAACCATGATAAGTTTCCTTAGCTTTTAGCAATTCACCAAATTGACCTTCAAACAGTGTGCCATGTTCTATATCCTCTGCTCTGCGTTTACACCCTATATCAAGGTGACCTATTTTCCCAATCGGACGTTAAACCTGAGTCCATTAGTGCTTTTGTAGTAATATACAATTTGATTTTAATATATATATATATATATTATTTGATACAAGAAAAATAACAATTTTACTTACTCTTGTTATATAATACTCAACTATTATTTTATTATAAAATTTAGTATAATATAATTTCAGTACTATTATTAATAAAAGTTACAGAAGTAGTCACCTTATTCCTTTTATTTTATGTAATGAAATATGTAATGCACGTTAATATTATTTATTAATATAACTAATTTAAATTAAGTAAATAAATTTAAAATAAAACATTGTGTACAAATATTTTACAAAATATACACACATGTTTTTATAGAATTTATTTTTTATAATAATTAAACATCGTAGATGTAGTAACTGTCAAAAAATAAATTCCTTCAATCATCATGAGACTTTTTTCTAATATGCATCATGAGGCTTTATAGTTTATTTAACATATTATGCAATGGAAATATATTTTAAACAGTTTCACTATGGAAAGAAATCAAATAGAAAATATAATAATAATAATAATAATAATAATAATAATAATAATAATAATAATAATAATAATAATAATAATAATAATAATAATAATCATTATCATCATCATCGTCATCATAGGTAACAATAATATATAAATAATCCACATGTTCAATTATAAGGAATTATTAATATGTTTCAATTTCATTTTCTGGCCATTAGTAAAATTATTTAATGTTTAAGTGCAAAAAAGGGAAACTACATAATTTTCTATTTTAGTCGCCGATAATAAAAAAATCACAATCTATTTATAGAGTATGCTTCACCTTGTTAAATAGAAGTATATAAAGCCTTCGTATCTACAAATCAACTGCACAATTGTAGTAATGTATTTTTCACCACCATCGGCACACGTACATGTGATGTATGTATGTGCCTCCATTGCCAGGGCATGCAGTTGAGCCTAAACTGAAACTGTCTTATGGTTATGATGATGATGTTGATGATTAAGTTATTAAAAACATAGTGTTTTTCCTTCCTCATTCAAATCTTTTAACCGATAATCACGGGTTGTGAGCATGGTATACTGGGCTTGGCTGGTGAATCTCCTGTGAGTTCCCTCCGCTCGGGTGGATGTATTCACCCGTGAGCCCGTGCTCACTACTAGTGTAATCGTGGCTTGATGGGGTAGCACTGGCCTTTTGGTTGTATCTCTTCAGGTCGTAGTCAGAGCTGCCGCTTGACCCAAGCATAGCATTTTGGGCCGACTTGATACCTTCGTGCAGGTCATCTAGGGAGACATCTCCTTCCAAAGCACGCACAATCTATAGGGGAACAAAATTGAAATAAAAACAATGCAAAATTAGTCAAAGCACATGAACTCTATTTTGTTCGCGTGTGGATTTTTATTTATTGATTAATCTTTCATTCGAAGGAATTTGTCAACTCATGATCAACTAGCTCTATTATAAATCTTAGTTAGAGATTTATTGTTAAAACTTCTCATGTGAAACCACCTTGTAAAAGTTAAATAAATCCAAGTATCGATCCTAGTATACACACACACACACAGACACACACACACACACACACACATATATATATATATATATATATATATATATATAAATACATATATCGAAACAAAACCTGGCTCATTTTAGGGCGTCTTCTTGCAGAATGCCTAATAGAGGCAGCAGCACAATGAACCATACGGAGCATTTCTTGGGGATCATAGTTGTTTCCTAGCCGTGGGTCCACCAGACCCTCGTACTCTCCCCCTTCTGTGACGGAGATCAGAATGGGCTTAGCCTGTACCAAATTTTGTTTTTTAAATAAAGTGATAAAATGTATGTAGTTATGTAGAAGGAAAAATGCCTTTAATTTGCGAAAATGATATAAAACATAGAATATGCTTACCCAATCGACTAAAGTATCATCGTCGTCGTCCCTGTGGATGTCTACAGGTCGTCGTCCCGTGATAAGCTCCAAAAGCATGATTCCGTATGAATAGACATCAGACTTCTCAGTGAGTTTACCAGTTGATGCATACTCAGGGGCCAAATATCTGTGTCAATTGGAAGCCTTCAATTTGTTATTATTTTTTAAGCAATTAAACTTTTTCTTTCTTACAACTATATAATTCATCTGGCATCTTGAGATCTATGCATGATGATTGAAATTCTGTTATGCCCCTGACACACAGACACACACATACATATGTAGATAAAATTATATGCATGTTTTGGAACAAACATTGAAGATCATATACGTGAGAAAAAAAAAAAGACAGAAACTAATTATTTGTACCCAAATGTTCCCATTATTCTTGTGGAGACATGAGTATTGGTGTCTGAAGAAAGCTTAGCTAATCCAAAATCAGCTACCTGCAATACAACCAGGAAATTTTCAATAAGCACAAATATAAGAAAGGGATATGCAAAATATATCATATGAAAATGACAATAAGAGATAAATTATTCAACTCATTTTTAGTTTGAGAAAATGAAAGAAAAAATGGAGTGTGTTGAGCGAGTCTAAAAGCTTGGTAATTTGGGAAACCAATACTGCAATTCTCATGTTTAAGTGCAAAAGCTATTTATGAAGTTAAATTTTTAACACGAGCTAGACATAGAAATTTGAGTTGACATATGACCACATGAGAAGTGTATTGGGTATACCTTGGCTTCAAAGTTGAAATCAAGCAAAATATTTGCAGCTTTAATATCTCTATGGATTATGCGAGGATGACCTGCAATTTTCTCAATGTATAAGTTTCGCAAATTTATTTTGTAAGTTGGTCAAAAATTGGAAAACGAAAATGATTTGAGGAATATAGTTTTATCTTTAAAGAATGAAATAGTATATTTTACAGTCTTCATGGAGATACGCGAATCCTTTTGCCGATCCCAGAGCAATTCTAAGCCTGGTAGGCCAATCCATAGGCGGGAGATCAACTCCTGCTTTAAACATTGGGCATTATACTTTTAATTTGTTAAAAAAAATAGAAAAATGATTTATTTTTCATGCGAAAGGCAAAAATATTGTTCGTAGTGATTTATCATCGTCCAAATTCAGAACATTTGATCAAGTAATTAGAAATGTATTAACAAAAGAAGGACGTACCGTGAAGGTGAAATTCAAGAGTCCTATTGGGAACGAATTCATAAACGAGCATGCGTTGAGTCCCGACCGTGCAGTAACCTACGAGTGACACCAGGTGGCGGTGGTGTACTCGGCTGATGATATCCACCTCGGCCTGAAACTCCCTTTCCCCCTGCCCGCTATTCATCTTGAGGCTCTTGACGGCTATCTCCTTACCATTTGGCAGTACCCCCTTGTGCACATACCCAAAACCCCCCTGCCCGAGCAGGTTTGTGTGGGCAAAGTTATTGGTGGCCACAGCAAGGTCGTTGTACGTGAAGCTACTCTGGTTGAACCCCATGGCAACCGCTGGGTGTGGGGGCGGCAGAGGGGAGTGGTGGGGCCCTGAAAACCCAGCCGAGCTCATCTCACTACTGCTCATCATTGGAGGAGGGGGTGGGGGTGGGCCCACCACCCAGTTGTACTCGGAGCTCACGTTGGCACTGCCGGGCGGTGGGGGGAGCTTGCTTGTCCCTATCGAGTTGTTCCATGTCCCATTGGATGTCATATCATAGTAATTCTTACCTGTAGGTATACATATGTACAATTAAATAATCATATCGTTATTCAACCAACATATTTATACATGTAATTCTAGTTGTACAAATGCTATAAAATCATCAAGTTTTAGATTGGTGTTAAATTGAACTATTTTCAATAGTGCTAATCAGTTGGTGGACAAAATAGAAAAAATCGCCACGTTTATTGTATGAAATGACAATAATAAATCGGTGTGATTTGAATATCAACACATACTACATATGAAGCTTGATGAATTTAACTTTGAAATAGGATGTCACGTAAATTGTCTACGACAAAAGGCGAGTTTACGAAAATTTTTGGTTTTCATGGAAATCGTTTATGTAAGAAAAACAATGCAAATAGCACTTAAATAGTTGATTGTTAATTACCTATTGCAAATAGAAACTAATATTCGATAAAATTATAAGTAAACATTTTATCAAAGCAAAAACCATAAATAAGTAATTTTTTTTAATACAAAAAAATTAGCCTTTGAGTTGTTTTTTATGGAGAGAAGTAATTAACAAGTCAATATTTGAATTTATTACCAGTGTGGTGGCTATGCGAGTTATCTCTGTAGTAATTCATATGATCATGAGGCTTGCGCTTCTTCCTTCTTCCACATGACACCAAAAACGCGATCATGATTAGCAGGAGTAGCCCCGCCCCTGCAGCTGCCCCTGCTATTATCGCCTTCCGATCGTTGGACGTGTCACGATTTTCCGGAGGGGGAGGATGACCAGCTACAGAACGAGAGGACGACGAATGTGTGCCTGGTGGAGGCGGCGGTGGCGGAGGGGGCGGTGGTGGAGGAGGAGACCTATTGTTGTTGTTGTTGTTGTTGTTGCTGTCGG